AATAATTATTTATTCAGAACTTATAAATTCCCAGATTTATGGCGGTAGATCAAACATCATAACATAATAACATAATAAAGCAGATAATTTTTAGTAATTTTATACAATAATGAGGAATTTTGCTTTATAAATCAATATTTAATACACTTACTAATGAAATATCAGAAGATAATCTTCTGGATAAATAATTAATCATCATTAAAACCAATATTATAGATTAAATTTTAACAAAAATCTTAAACAAGTATAACAAAAGCACCAAGTAATTTAAGATAAAGTAAGAAATTAAATTGATGTCATAACACAATTTGTGTCTGAGTTGCATCATTTTATTTACTTTGGTTGAAAGCAACTCAATAAATGTAAAGTGACAAAACACATAATAACTGTAATTACTAATTGGAGATCGCATCAGCTGCACAAAGAAGTGCTTCTCTATAGAGTAGTTAGCTAAATTCGTTCAATAATAATCACTCGCATATGCTCTTAAAATAAATCCAAATAGCCAAGGTGATTTCAGGCTAATAAATTATTTGCACCTAAACTACGTCCCAAAATCCAAAATATGGTCTTTTCAAAAAAGATAGTCAACAACTGATGTTCATCTAGTAAGAATTAATGTTTAAAGAAATATGCAAGAGAGGAAAGTGCTTATGATGAGTAAGGTTAAAATAACTTCTCAAAAGCGGGATGCAAAACTGTGAGCTCAATATATATATTTATATTAACTAAAAAAATTAAAGCCTTGTGTATATAGTCGAGGTTAACTCTATATTTCGAGATACTCATTAAAAAAGCAGATGGTATTAGGGTATGAAGGTATTTCGCATGCAAATATAAATGCTACCAAGTTGAGAAGAGATGAAAAAAAGCCAGGAGATATTTTACATTTGTGTTTATCAAGCAGACAATTATAAATTATGGGGTGTAAATTACCAAAGAAGAAGTTAAGCGTGAAGTAGAATTGATGGACTTGGCTCGTCCCAAAGGATTATGAGCCAAAAAATGAATTTTGTTTTCATCCTTCATATTTAGAGGGTTACTGTCTTGTGACGAGTTATTCGATTTGACAGTGAGTCGTTCTTTTAGACGTTTCTCCTTTCTGAATAAGAGAAAAATATACATTTTAGAGGAACTACGCCATGCTCTTTAAGACATTAAAGAAATCTTAATGAATGCTTATCCCCACTCCTAGAAAAAAATGCTTAAGCCTAAGTCCAGTTTCGTTAATCTACTCGCTAGAAATACATTGTTAATTTATTTTAAACACATGGAATAGAAAAAACCAGGATATTGGAAGGAATTATAATGTTCATTGTGTTATGAAGAAATCTTTGCTTTAATATGTTGATTATAATAAGCATATTGTAATATCATAACAGTCACTCACACTTGATTGTGAAATCGAATAGGGTCCATAGCACTAGTAAATAAACTTGCCTGGTATAATGTGTATACGCCACTTCTAGCAGCATAAAGACACTTGCTAATCCACCCATATTGGCTAATTGTTGTTGGCTGTGTCCTGTAGGAGACGGATGGCTTGAGGAACCAGGTGTAGATTTGAAAAAGCCGATATAGGGCTTTGCGCTGACTTCAAGACCCAGAATCACTTGTCGCAACATCCACAAATAGCTGTTGTACTGCTCGCGACTATCAAGTTGCTAAGATGAAGGAAGGGGATAAAAAATTAATGGTTATAATGGATTGTTTAGACAAGCTATAGTCTACATTTCAGGCCATGTGAAGTTGCAATAAAATAAGCTCTGTCCTAGCCCAGGCCAACGCAATTTATGCTTTAATTAAAATGAGTGATACATTATGCCAGAAATTATATGAATAAGTCAAGAGATATGAGTAATATGATTAACCGATATGCTAAAATTGAGTGTATCTTAGTGAAAATATCGATGCCCATGTAAGTGCTTAAAATGGCAATTTTATAAAATTTTAAGAGAGCTTGTGGGTTTTGTTTGCATTATTCCATTGCGGTTATCAAGAAAATCGGTTACAAATAAATTTTGCTGTATTAGTTAATAGTTTAATATAATATAAAATTAAGAATAAGAGTGCTGTCTCTAGGAGACTGATACATTTAGTTATACTGCTGGCACTTGGCAAGTCGAATGAATTGCCTTATTGGCCAAAATAAGGGTGTATTCTTACAGTAATCCAAAGTTCCATACGTGTTAATAAAATCAGTAAATGTAGATATTCAAGGGGCTCGACTGGGTAACTCCACCTAAC